AAGGTGGGATGTATTTACACAAAACATATGCTGTGTGATCGAATATGCTTGCTAGATCTGAGCAAATTGGCCTGTGAAGTTTCTAGGAACTAAAGAGGAAAATTTATCAGTGTTGTGATGCTTTGCAATAAGCCAGTTGCCCCTTAAAAGAGTACAGTCATTTCTTTGATCAGAACTCCAGAGAAGTGATACCCCCTGTAATAGGACAGCATATGATGCTCTGGGTGGCGTCTTCTTGGGATACCCAATCCTGAAGTTCATCTGCCGTGTCTTACACTTTCCTTTGTGTGGTTTCATGGAATTGTGGCAAAGCCAATTCAGTAAATGTAATCTATCCAAAGGCCAAAATGAGGAAGTCAGGTGCCCCATTCACCATTGGGAGAAGAATCCATTTTAAACCAGCTAGACTTTAGGATGGGGTTGGCGAAATATGGCTTGTGGCCCAAATGTGATTTTTTTTTGTCATTTATAAGTGGTTGAAAAAGAAGAATATTTCATGACATGTGAGAATCACATAAAATTTGAATTTCCGTGTCCATAAATATAATTTTGTTGGAACACATCATACTCATTTATTCACATGCAGTATTTTCTATGCCTGCTTTTGTGCTACAACAGCAGACTTACATTGTTGTGACAGAGACCATATGCCCCACAAAGCCTAAAATATTTACTATCCAGTCCTTTACAGATAAAGTTTGCCCCTGCTTTAGATTCTTGAGAAAGGGGGCGCCTGGGTGGCTCAGTTGGTTAAGCATCTGACTTCGGCTCAGGTCATGATCTCACGGTTTGTGAGTTTGAGCCTCATGTTGGGCTCTGTGCTGACAGTGTGCTTGGGGTTCTCTCTCTCCCCCCTCTTTCTGCTTCTACCCTGCTTGCACACTCTCTCTCTTACAACAAATAAATAAACATTTTTAAAAAAGTTCAAGCCTCTAACAAGTATGTAGAGTATGCATATGCTGTTTTGCCTCCTATTAAGGTGGACACAGTTTTAAACAGTTGAGCTGTAGGCAGAGACATCTTGTGATGTCACTCCTCTTGTGAAAGTTGGAAGGTTTAATGGGAGCATGTTATACATTTGTGATATAAAACCACAACTGTGAACTGACACATGCGTGGGGAAAGAAACAAGGTGTTGAGGAAGCAGGGTCAGCCATTACTGAATTTCCCTTTGACTATCTGCTTTTCCTTTGACTATCATCCATTTTGTCAGCTGCCAATGTATTCTAATGGACACATGGGGAGAAAGCACCAAGGGCTTCAGAAAAATGATGGAGAAAACCTTGATTATTGTTAACTTGACAGTCCTTCACTACAACTTTTCTAGATTGTTTGTGTTGGGCATTATGGGTTATTACTTGTGGAATATTTAGCCTAGCTTATGGAGCACAACTATTTTATGGAAACAGTTTAAGAATGACCAGTTTAAAACAGTGGTGGATACTAACGCCATTATTAAAAGACAGGTGTTTGAAATTTTACAGAGTGAGGAGAGTATAGAAGTGACTCTGTCATCAATCAACAACTATATAATTTTATCATAATGGTGCATTTTACATAGTCTGGGTGCCTGGATAAGTGCGTTCCTCAAAGTGAAAAATGTAAGTGCAGAAGAGTAAGCAGACTGTGCTCAGTGACACAGGGGCGTGACAACAAAATTTGTAAGAAACTCTTTTTTTATATATAGACTAGAAAATTTGGGCAGGGTATTTGCTCCCTAATCATGTTCCAAAGGTGTAGAGAAGGCTGTCCTGGCTTTAGCTGTCAATCTGTGTTTAGAAGTGTCACCAATAATTTGTAGCCTGGAAGTGCTTGACTTGTGGACCCCTGGTGCTAATTGGATCCACTGATTTCTGTAAAATCCCCACCTGTCATCAGCTCAGCAGTAGGTATGATATTGAAGCTCTAATGAACCCAGGGAAAACTTTAAATAGCCAGTCTGATTCTTTTTGATTTTATTACTGGGCAAAAAGTTTGAATTTCTAGGGAGGGAACTTTATTTTTATAGTCTCTTATAACCTTTCATTAGGATACATGCTGTTTAAGAAGGAGGTCAGGCTTTATCCTGGAGGATACCCCATTCCTGCAGAAAGGTTGTTAGAATTTAAGAAATCCATCCAGTGGAGCTCAGTTAGAACCTGCAAGGAAAATGAATCCAGAATCCTTGTTAACTAGAAACCAACTTGTTCCACCACTGCAGCAGAAGAATCCATTCTGGGAAGTGGGGAGCTGGTGACCTAGGGCTCAGGGTTACTGCCTGTGTTGTTTTGCTTCAGCAGCTATTTTCTTTGGTGCTTCAGCTTCAAAGCCAAATTCACTTGCAAACCTGTTTTATATCGCTATGGGAATTCCTCGTCTCTAAAAGCAGAGACTGTCCTGTCACAGAATACGGTCCTCTGGGAGAAACAAGAATACATTTGGATGAGCTCCAGCATGTATCGCTGTTCTCTGATACCATGAATGAAGCTGCCAGTGTCCTTTAATAGCAGGGCGCTCAGGAGCTGTTTGAAACAGAGGTGACCAGGGCTGCTCTGTCCACAGACTGTCACCACCTTCGCTTGCACTGTGGTAGTCTTTGTCAGAATATTCTCCTTCTGTTATCTAGGCCAGAAAAATCCTGTTACATTCTTATGTTTAGCTATATGGACAGGATGTAAAATACATTCCTTCACTAAACATAACCACGGATATCCACAAGGACCCAAATGTTCTTATGAGATTTATGTTGATTGTGAAGAAGCAGTTTGCTTTTATGGCAATGAAGAACTTGAGTACAAGCAGACAGAATACACACACATCTGACTGTATTGTTTGCCCACATTAGCAATTTGTTAACCCATCCCCATAAACCAAGGTCCAATTGCTATCAACTGAAATAATTGCACCGATATTGTTCTTGTTCTTGGGGCTCTAGGGCCCTCATGGGGGCTTTAATCCATGTACCAAAATAGACAAACAAGGAAAGACTTGTTAAGTCTTGCAACCTGGTCATCTGACCTCGGTGGATATTCCCTTTGGTATGTCTTTCTGAGGCCCTGACTTGCCTGTATTTGAATAATGCCAGCAGCATATTTCAGCCTTTACCCTTAGGAATTGGTAATATAGTCTATTCTTGATTTCAGCACTTCCCCACCTCCTTCATTTCTTGATTTACTCAATCATTCTTAGAATGCCTGAGCTGCTCTTTGCTTGGGCACCCTCACTCATTCTCCTCATGGTATTTTCTGAGACTTACACATCAGGTAGATGTGGGGCATCTTATATCTCTGCTTCAAAGTTGTGCTTTGGCTACATGCTGTCTGCTTTGGATTCCTTTGTGACATGAGCTCTTGTTGCCCCTTATTATTTCATTGATGCATATCTATAAATTATCTTTATTTTTTCCTTGGCCCCTTCACTCATCATGCTATTAATATCTCAACATAAAAGAAAACCAACGTGGGAATAAAGGGCCCATTAGTGAATGGTTGGTCTCAGGGCTGATTAGGAGTCAGAGACACCAAAATGGAGAAAAGACTAGAGATGTTGGTTCTCCAAGATCTGGGATGGGAACTGCAAAGCTGAAAAACAGGCTCTTGAAATCCTACCACCTGCCATTTGTTTGGATCAAATTGCTGGCCTGAGTTTTTAGCTTGAGGTACTTTCTTTTCTGGCCATGGCCTCTTATCTTTGTTCTCTATTCTCTTCAGGGCTGGTACTTTCCTATAACCGTAGAACATAATATTAGGATGGGGCTGGGGGTTGAGAGCAATCCCTTAAATTGGATATGAAGAATCAGGTCCCAGAGAAGTGATGACTTCTTCAAGGTCACACAGCACGCTGCTAGAGAAGCCGATACTAGACACCCATCTCCAGAATCGCAGGGCCAAAGCTGTCTTGTCTAATGGATAGCTGCTTACATTCAGCAAAAGGTAACTTTGTGCTGAAGCAGCTGCCTCCAAGTGTGCTCAGAAAGTAATGGTGTGCAGCCGTTTTCCAGAGAGAAATGGCAAGGGAAAGAACTCACAACACTGACAGAAGAAATGTCAGATATACCTTCAATTAGCTTTATTCTTCCATAAGAAAACTGAAATTAACTTCGCATATAACACCAAATTAAGTGATTTGACTTGGAAGCTAGTCATTAACATCTTCTGGGTTTTCCCCCCTTCATAATTGATGGTATTTTCTTTTATTAAATAGTAAAAAATAAATTTTTAAGACAGGTGTTCTAGGTGTTACTTCATCATCCAAAGTTTCTTTGCAGATGATTTGTGAACCAGGTGATAAATAATTGGCTAATTAGAATGTGGAATTTGGAATAAAGACTCTGAAGTGGATTCTATGGTAGGCAGCAACATGTATGAGTAATAATAAGGTGACAGCCCCTGGTTATAAAATCCTGTGCCTCTGTTACTGTTTCTGATTTGCCCTTGAGCTGTCCTGTGGTATGTTACCAGTGATTGTTTTCTTTCATTGACATGTGCGTGTGAGAATAGTCTAAAAATATGTGGTGTTCCATACAGTGAGACTTCTCTCAACCATAAGAATGATTTTCTGGAGTGTTAATTATATAATTTACTGATTCTTAACCTTAAAGTACTGACCACAAATGGCCATGAGTCCAACTAAAGGTGAGGAAAGGTACCTATCTTTTATTTTGGCCCTGAATACTTTAAGAACCTAATCTATTTCTCATATTATGAAATGTAAAAAAAAAGAAAAAAAAAGCAGAAAAACGGAAAAAAGAAAAGCAAAGAAGTGAAAGAAAAGAAAGCAACTATGGGCAACTGTGTGGCTCAAGTGGTTAAGTGTCTGACTCTTGATTTTGGCTCAGGTCATGATCTCACTGATGTGGGATTAAACCCTGCATTGGGTGGGCTGTGGAGCCTCTTTGGGGTGCCATCATCTCTCCCTTTCCCTCTACCCCTCCCTCACTCATGCTCTCTCTATCTCTCTCTCCAAAGGAAAAAAGAAAGAAAGAAAGAAAGAAAGAAAGAAAGAAAGAAAGAAAGAAAGAAAGAAAGAAAGAAAGACAAGGAAGCAACTAAAAATTCCCCCAAAGATCTATGTGGCTTTGTTCCCTGTGATTTTACAATGCTACTTCTAAAGTAACCGGAGACTCTCAAGGTCCTTGCCTAAGAAACCAGAGAACTATAAAGAAGATTGAATGAAGCATCCAGACATGAAGGGTTTCACAATTCAGGTGGGGTGCTGAAGAAGTGATAAGACAGCATGGTGGGCTTCAACTGAGATGAGGAAGTTCTTTCCAAAGATTTCATATAATTGGATATCAGTAGACACATGTGTGTCCCTTTTGGTCTTCCTGTGTCTCTGTGCCTAAACAACTGTATGTGTACCCAAGCTTTTGGTTACACCCTTCCTGGAGGAGCCATCTTTAGTTGGAATCATATCCTTGTCACTGAGCATAACTTACTTTTTAAAAAATGTTTATTTACTTATTTTGTACTTGCGTGAGAGAGGATGAGTGTGTGCATGAGCAGGAGGGGGCCAGAAAGAAAGGGAGAGAGGGAGAAGGGAGAGAGAGAATCTCAGGCAGGCTCCATGCTGTCAGCATAGAGCGTGACCCAAGGCTCGATCTCATGTACCCTGAGATCATGACCTGAGCCAAAATAAAGTCAGATACTTAGCCAGCTGAGCCACCCAGGTGCCCTGAACATAACCTCTCGAAGTACCTGTAGTAGACAGTGCCTCTTATCCTCCCATCCAAGGCCCATATTTGTCCTCCCAAATGCAGTGGTACAGAGTTCTATTAAACAAATAAATAATGATAAACCCTGTGGGTTAGGTGTGGAAACTGAGATCCTTGGCGAGCGGTCTCAGCCTTTTAAAAGTCTGTCTCCCTCAGGCTCTCTGATCGTGGAGTGTTTTCCTGCTTTGGGTCTTTCTATTTTGTCAAGTATAGTGTTTCTGGTTTTTAGGCACTAGTATTGGGAGGAGAGCAGCTCAGCCCTTGCAAGACACCGAGAGACACAGGTGCTGAACCTGTGCAATGGACATTTTATTCTTACTCTGTTGCTGTTCCCAATATCCTTTTATAACCCTCCACTTTACCCCTGAATAGAGAAGCACCAAGTTGCTACTTTCCTGTATTAACGCCAATCCCATTTTTTAAAATGTATGTTTATTGTTGAGAGAGAGAAAGAGAGACAGAGTGTGAGTGGAGGAGGGGCAGAGGGAGACAGACACGGATTCCGAAGCAGGCTCCAGACTCTGAGCTGTCAGCACAGAGCCCAGTGGGAGGCTCAAACTCACAAACTGTGAGATGACCACCTGAGCAGAAGTCAGACGCTTAACCGACTGAGCCACCCAGGCTCCCCAAACCCATATTTGATAATGAATCTGATTTCTATCCTAGGTAATGCACAACCATTTGAGGAATGCCTCTTATCTCTTATCTCACAGTGGTCAAACCACCCTCACCTGTGACCTGTTGTCATGAGAAGCTCAGACATTGAGGCCAAGATCCTCACAGGTAGGCCTAGACAGTCACGTTTCTGGTTGAGGCACACCCTTATTGTGAGATGTGTTCAGTAGATTCTTTGAACATAGCCTCTAACAAAGTTAGACTTTCTCATCCACTTGGGGCTCTCACCTCTCTATCCTGCTCACGGACCATAGTTCTCCAGAATGAGAACTTGACTTGCAATTCCTGTGTGGTAAAAGTATGGATAGCCTCAAGACCACCTTGTTACTTAAAAAGAAGGTTTTGTTTTGTTTTTTCTTTTTTTAGAACACTAAATGTGTTAAAATTAACAGAACCAAACACATGTGCTTACAAGTCCTCAAATAACAATTTGATACTTTAGAATGTTTTCCAAACAATGAATGGGCTCTCTTTTTTCCTTTAAGAACTTTAATTTTAGTTAGGGATCAATCTTTTTTTTTTTTATTGTACACATTTATTTAACCAAACAGTTTTATACAGAATGCTTAAAGCACATTTCTTCATATTTTATAGAAGGATTTGACATTCATACCATTGCACAACCAAATCTAACTCCTGACTAGATGGATTACTTTTTGTTTGGAGTTTAAAGCTTTAATGACAGGGCACGTGGATGGCTCAGTTGGTTAAGCATCTGACTTTAGCTCAGGCCATGATCTCACATTCAAGACCCATGCCAGGCTCTGTGCTGACAACTTGGAGCCTGGAACCTGCTTGGGATTTTGTGTCTCCCTCTCTCCCCTGCTTGCACTCTGTCTCTCTGTCTCTTTCTCAAAAAACAAACATTAAAAAAATAAAGCCTTAGTGGGAATAATCATTATTAAGTTTACTAATAATTACTTACTGAAAAATAAATTCCAAAAAATAATGAATTAAAATTAAATTTAATATGGTCTCATATGCGCTAAAGGAGGTGGTGCCTGATTTGAAGGAGGAGTTTATGCTATGTCCATATAACGTCCTCTTTGGAATTTCTGTGACTCTGGGGTCAGGAATCATTATTCTGCTGCCTTTTCGCCAGACATCATGCATGCTACTGATCTCCTTTAGTTGCTGGCCAAGTCTTTTAAGATCTATAAAAAAATTATAAAAGTTTTTCTTTCTAGCTTCTGGATAGACTTCCTTTAGTCAGATTTGCACTAAGAACCCAGCTCTACCATGTAAGTGACCTTAGATAAGCATTCAACTCCTTTGTACCTCACTTGCCTCATCTGTGAAATGGGAATGAAAGTCATTCAAACTTACCACATGGGGCTGTGAAGAGTAAGTGAGATGATTCCCATGAGGTACAAGCACAGTGCTCCCTTATAACAACATGTTATTATGTCATTTCTGTTACTAAGTCAAGAAGCAGAAAATACAGCAACAGACGGTGCCACTCCCTCACTTAGCTTTTCCTTGAAGAGAGGAACATCCTGGAATGGCATATACAGAAGGTAATATGAAAGCCCAAATTATTAATATTAGTTAGTTTTTATCCCCCCCCACCCCCCAAGATGTGAAATGCATGTCTCCTGGCAAGAGAGACAACCATTCTTGGGTTTCTTGTGCTCTGACACATCCTGCTAGGTGGAAGATTCTAATGGCTCTTTACCTGGTCCGTTCCCTGGGTTGCATGTGAGGCTGGCAACCTTAAGTCATAAGGTCACATCTCTCACCAGATGGTGGGCAGCCTGGCTGAGTTCTCCAAACTCTGTGTCCCTCAGCTGTGTTATAAAGTATAGTGCTGTGTGCACCGTATCCATCAGGGTCCATGAGACTTAGGGAGACAAGGGAACCAATAAAAACACATGGTGCTAATGCTACTAGCTGTGTTGTAGTAAAGTCTATTCTTTTTGGCACAGGAAAGTGCTTTCTGTAAACATCCATGGCATAGTAATAAGGTAACTGATTGGCTTGTGAGTAAGGTAAAACCCCAGACCCCATACCTCTCCTTTCCCAAGGTATTATATAAAGAATATGTCTGTACTCAGTACCAACCCATATACTCTGATCCTCATTCTTTTGAGTTTCCTTGTGGAAAGTTTCCATCACAGAAAGATGTTCCAGCACAGGAGTGCCCGAGGGCTATAAATCCAGGTCCTGTCATACATGATCTTGAGAACTGAAGCAGGAGCAGACACTATGTGGCATTTTATGCTACGGAAAAATGATGATGAATGTGGCCATGTCTGTTTCTGCAGATAACTCTTCATAGGTTCTTGTTGCTTGTAGAATAAACTACAAATCCCTTCTAAGAGATATGTGAGTCTCTATGACCTTCCTATTGTTACAAAACCTCATCCTTTAACATTCCCCTGCTCTTTGACTGAGTTACAGATGTATAGAACAATTACATTATTCATCATACATTTATTTATTCAATCCATGTCCACTGATGGCACAGTATATGACAGGCCTTGTGTTAAAAGTGGGGCAAAGCAGAGGACAATCCAGTCACATGGTTATGTTCTCCCTGGAACAGGCACATTCCTTCTGATTGTTCTGTTATCTGCTCTCCCTTCTCTGATGAAGACTCATGTATATCTTACATGGTTTCTCTTAAGATCCACCTGCTCCCAGAAATCTTCCCTGACCCCGAGTCTTCAGTTTCCTTCCATTGTGCTACTCCATCATTGAAGTCATATCTGTGCCATAGCAACAGTCATCCTTATTTTAGCCAGTTATGTACTTACATGATCTTCTTTCTATACCCGTTAGTTCCATTCAGCATTCCACTCATGTGCAATGTCCTTTGCAATTTTAATGCTGGATCCAGTTTTTACTCACATCTTATCCATAGGGCCTTGTTCAGCATCTGACATATAGCAAACACTCAATAAATATGTTGTAGAATCAATGAATAACTAATTTAGTATGGCTTCACGCTGACGTTACCCAATAGACAGAGTCATAGATTTATGCAACTTTAGGGCTGAGAGAGTTTTGCAAGACCATCTCTAACTCCTCAAGTCACTGATAAAACATTTCCAAGTTGAATCACAGAAAGCAACACAAATACCAGATACCCACTGTTTGGAGCTGCCGAAAATCTGTGAACAGAAATAATAACTGAAGTAAGAGGAGATCCTTCAGTTTAGCAGTTTGTCAAAGTGCTAGTTAATACAACAGGTAGGACCTTTGAGTAAAGATGGTTGTGTTGAAGCCTGTTCTACTTTATTGAGTCAAGCTGCAGAGTCAAGAGCTACAAAACATTTACTCGATGGTGAGCTTAATGATGAATCATGTATTACTCATCTCCCGTCTTATAAACCACATGTTTGAAGATCTTCCATAAATGGCTACCAGGTGGGGTGAGAAGAACTTCTCAGAATCAGGGTAGAATGCCTGAGACATACTCAAATGGGGAGCAAAGTGGTAAATACTATTTCTTTTTAAAAATTTATTTTTATTTTAGAGAGAGAGCATGGGGTAGGGAGAGGGAGAGAGAGAGAGAGAGAGAGAGAGAGAATCCCCAGTAGGCTCCACATGGGGCTCCATCCCACAACCCTGGGATCATGAGCTAAGCTGAAAATCAAGAATCGATGCTCAACCAAATGAGACACCCAGGCACCCCAAGAATGGTTTTTATTAGGTGACTGGAAGGGGGATTGGAGTCTGTGGTCTGCAGGAGAGCTATCTTTGTTGGGGCTGGGAAGTGGGTGGGAAGGAAAGGACTTTGTTCCTCCAGGAGACATGAACATTTTTTATTGTCTGATGTATGCTCTCTTTTAATTATGTCTTGCTTTTCCTTTTCTTCTGTCCTTGTGTTTCTTCCATGGAAATTGCTGTTTCTCTTTGGCATCAGTTCCATTCTTTAAGATGTAGCCACCTGTGAGTGTTAGGGATCATATGCTTTTAATCTTCTCACAAGTTGCATTTAGAGTGAGTTAAGTTCCATCAGAGTGGAGTCTGCCTGAGAAAATATCCAACAACTGTGGAATTTGATCAAACTATGATGAAGACAATTGTTGATCTGAGAAGTGACTTTTCTCCCTGACAATTCATGACCAGGCCAATTTGATGTTTGAGGTATGTTCTCAATCTGGTGATTTGCTTCTTTAACTGTGGCTACTCTCCTGAAGCCTTTTAGCCCATCAGCTTACAATTGTTAAAACTTGCCAAAAAAGGAAAAACAAAACATCATGTTTTTAGTCTAATTAAAAAAAAAAAAACACTCCCTTGATTCATTAAGACTTTGAACAACAGGATCATTACAAAAATACTTTGTAGGATAGAAAGTAAAGTGTTAACAAAGCTTCTAATATTTATAAATGCAACACTGTAATTATAAGTTTACTTAAAGTGCCCTCTGTGGCCTAGATGTTCTTCCTCTTGGCTACAAAGCTTTGTATGGCTGCTTAAGGGGTAGCTACACCCATAATCTATTTTTTTGCATTCACTGTGTATAGTCTACCTTCTTTCACAAACTTACAAGTAATGCAAATGAAGGTCATTGTTGATAGATATAGTTCATTTCATAGAATTTTTACAAAATATTTTTATTCTGATAAAATATTTGATTCCAGTAAACATAGTGCTTTGTTCATGTACAATTTCATTTCAAATGGTTTTCTTTCTCAGTTTCTTGATTATCTTTCACTTGTTGGTTAGGCCTATCTGTTTATTGATAAAATGCTGGGTAACTACAGGTTCTGAGCTATTCAAGAGAAGAGTGACTTCCAGGTTTGTCTTTCCTTGTCAGGAAGCTATCATAATTTTTCCTCAGAACATGAAGCTAATTGCCCAGTAAGGAAAATATCCTAACTTCTCCATTTCTATATTTCCGACTTCTTTTTAGTGATCATTCGTTTTATCAGAAACTTCTAATTTCCTTTAAATATGCCATTTTAACAGGATTTGGCGCATTCTTAAGTATCTCTACTCCATCTTCTAGCAAGCATTTTTTTTCCTGAAGCTATGTCAAAATCTATAATGAAGTTTGATATAATTTTAAATATTTGATGGATTTTTAATTTTTAATTTTTCAACAGTTTATACATTATGTAGTAAAATATTCAAAGCATATAAAGGATATATGGATATACATGGAAAGTAAAGCTTTCCTCATCCTTGCCCCTCCATTCCCCATTTCCACTTTTCCTTTCTGTGGACAACCATGATTACTCATTTCTTGTATAAACTTTCAGACAAACATACATGTATACATGCAGATTATTTACACTCACTCCTCTCCCTTTACACAAATAGTGGTGTAATACACCCTGTTCTCTATCTGATTTTCTGCACATATTTGTATATCTCAGAAAATGTTCCAAATCAGTTTATATAGAAGTACTATCTTATTTTTATAGCTGCATTTTATTCCATAGAAAATCATAATTTATCCACCTAATTTCCTGCTGATGAGCATTTAGGCTGTTTCTAATATTTTGCTATTGTCCTCCATTCTGCAATGACTATCTTTGTTCATACGTCTTTGTGCACTCATGTGAAATTACTTCTATAATAATGTTTCATATTCAAATTGTTTGGTCAAGGGAATATAAGCACACTTCAGTTTTGATAGGTGTTGCCAAATTGCCCTCCAAAGATGTTTCCCGATTTACACCCACAGTAACATGATCTGAGAATATGGATTTCTTTTTAAATTGTGCACCATCTAGAGAGAAGTAAACTGCTCAATATTTGCCACTATGTCTTGCAATCAGCACTGAATGAATCTACCAGACACTAAATATAATTAAGAGCCCATTACAGTTACTACTGAAATTAGTCAGTGTAATGCTTCTTCTCACCTTCTCCAGCTGATTAAATGTATACTTAATACCCATGCCTCAACTTGCAATCTTGGAAGTGTTTAGTGGCTGCACACAGAGCATTTGACAGCTACGCTCATTGACAGGAGAGAGAGTGTTCTATGTCTTTAGACAAATAAAGGTCAATGTCTTAAGCCTTATGCTGTTTTGTTAGGCAAGTATTTAAACTGTGATCTTATATCTCAAAATTCAGTACAATATTAAACATGATGGTGAGTTCAGCAGGTGTTTGCTATTCCTGCCTAAAACTGTCTACACTTTTGATGTTGGCTCATAATCAGATCATTTAGACGCAGCCTGAAACAATTCTGTCTGCTTTTAACATGTCAATAAAAAATAAAAATGGTTTCAACTTCTGATTTTAGAACTAGGAATGTTAGTTGTTTTATTATTATTATTATTAATGGAGTAAATATTTTATAGTGAATTCTGTATAATTATTTTTCACCTATTTGGAAATTCTCAGTTTATACCACATGATTCTTTTTTTTCTCTTTGGTGTATTACAACCAAGCCCACCATTTTCTCTGAGCACTGAGATGAATTCTCCTGTCTTGCTTTGTCAATTTGGTCAATGGTTTCCCCCTCTCTGGACATCAGTTTGCCATCTACATTTGTAGTCAGTGTTTTCTTGATAGATTGTAGCAGCTTATAACACAAAAACCTGAGGGTGAGAATCAAGATTTTTCAATTATGTAAAGGTAACAACATGTAAGGAATTCATTATGCTATATCCTCATCAATATAAATCTTTAACAGTCTTCTAAAACAAGAAGTTGAAGTCAGTTTTTATTTTTTTATTGACATATTAGAAATAGTATTGTCAGTGAAATTCCTATGTTTCTTTTTTCCTTCCAAGATATTATTTAAATTCAAGTTAGTTAGCATATAATGTAGTATTGGGAAACTTCTATGTTGCTGTGTCAAGTGGCCTTTAATGAGTAGAAATGATTCATAAAATCCTATAAAACGGCATGATAATTCTTCTTCTTTTTTTTCCTATTCTTTATAACCTAGTTCCCTTTTCACCATTTCTTCTCTTATGTTTATATTTTAATAGGTTCCCCCTAATTTCATAAACACTCTTGTCAGCACAATGAAGTTGATCATCTCCCAAGTTGAACTTATCTCACCCCAAAACAGCTCCCTCTCCAGAGTTTCTTGCATCAGTGAGTAGTGTCAACACACATCCAGTGGTGCCTGGTAACACCTTTTTCTCCCTCCTCTGCCTTTCCTGCCCACTCCATCAGTCACCATATATTGTTGTCCTACATTCTAAATATCTCCCAAATCTATCCACTTCTCTCCATATTTACTGTACTTCCCTAGTCTTACTGGACATAGCCTCCTAAATATTATCCCCATATTTATTCTTGTCCGTTTTTAGTTACTTTTCTACAGAAAGAATATATAAAGCAAAAGTTCATAAGGCATTGGACATCAGGCCATCAGGCAAAAAAAGAGACAATTGAAACATAGGAAACAAATAAGATGAATCCCAAAATGACCTAGCTTATTGTGTGGAGAATGTTTCCAGGCTATGATGCAGGGAAGAGAAGCTTCACCTGAGCCTAATAGACTCTTTGAGTTAAATAAAGGGGATCTAGGACCATAGGAAGATTGAGGGGGTTGGATTTCATAGGACTGAGTGTCAGAGAAGAGAAATGCAGAGAAAGAGAGTTCTGGAAAGCTATTTCATGTCCCCCGAAAGTATCTAGTTGAAAAGTGATCAGTGCATGTCCATGAGGAAACTACCCATGCGGTGTGAAGATCTAGTCAAAAGGATGCAAATGAAAAATACACAGAGCTCAGTTAGGATCTGCAATGATGCTCATTCTCAGAAGTCAGAGTGGAAAACCTCATAATTTATGGTTCATTGAGTATTCAGAAGGGTATTGTCTAAGTAGTGAGGAAAATTCTCCCTAGACATAATGCTCACTGGTTCTGCCTAACAATACTTAAAAGCAAGACCCAAGGGAATCAAATATTTCTAATTTGACCACATCCCAGAAAAAAGCAAACAAACAAGAAAATGTATTAAATTATAGAAAAGTTCTGCAGCCAATAAGGTAAGAATCACAATGTCTGGTATCCAATCAAAAATTACAAGGCATTAAGAAAAACAAAACAAAACAAACAGTATAGTATAAAATATAGTGAATACAAAAATCAAAACTGACTCAGAATTAACACAGATGATAGAATTAGTAGACAAAGATATTAAAATGATTATAACTCTATTTAATATGATCAGAAAGTAGAAAATGGATATATTAAGTAAAGGTATAGACAATACTTTTGAATTTTTTTAATGTTTATTCTTTTGAGAGAGAGAGAAAGACAGAGCGGGGTAGGGAGTACAGGAGGAACAGAAAGGGAAGAAGACACAGAATCTGAAGCAAGCTCCAGGCTCTGAGCTGTCAGCAAATAGCCTGATGCAAGGCTTGAACTCATAGACCTCGAGACCATGACCTGCAACTAAAGTTGGATGCTTAACTGACTGAGCCACCCAGATGCCCAAAAAATATTTTTTAAAAGAACCAAAGCAAACTTCTAGAGAAGTAGCCTGCAATGTCTCAGATGAAAATACACAGGATATGGCTAGCAGCAGATTAGACATTGCGTAATAAAAGATTAGTGAGCATGGAAACAAAGCAGTAGAAACTATTTAAAATGAAAAAGGGAAAACAGTGAAATTTAAAAAATGAGACCATTAATGAACTCTGGGACAATTTTAGTAGGTCTACTATTGTGTAATTAATTGGTGTAGCACAGAAAAGTTGTTTGTAGAAATAATGGCCAAAATATTTCCAAACTTGAAAAATGTAAGCAAATGGATCCAAACAACTTTAAAAACAAAACAAAACAAAAACATAGGGGTGCCTGGGTTTCTCAGGCTTTTTAGAGCATTGCAATGATTCTAGAGGGACTAAAGACATTGGACCCGAGTTTTATTAATAATAATTCCTCAAACTTTTATCACAGAGATCGTTGGTCTGGCTTTGGTTGCTGCCCTTCCTGTGTCATAGTTTTTAATATTCTTTCAATTCTAAGACTGTATTGAAAAATCTTTTTCAATTAATTTCCTTGTTTTTTGCTGTAGCTATCCAGAGTCAGTTTCTGTTGCATGTGATCAAAAGAACCGTCACTAACAAAGCCTGCATGTTGGACTTCAGTGCAAAGAAACATTTCGTATTTGCAGCATAAGAATGTGAATTTTACCCCCTCCCCCAGAATATCACAAATGAAATATTTTCTTAAAAGTTCATACAAGTCCACTGGTGACTGAAAAATTCCTCTCTAGCATGATCTTCCCCTTCATCTTCCAGGCTCCTATCCAACTTCTTACTTGATTTCTCCATTTGAATATCTAATAAACATCTCAAACTTACTTTGCACAAAACAAAACCTAATCATCTGCAGTAAATGGGATGGGCTTTCATGTAGTTGTTCAGATAAAACTCTAGAAATCATCCCTGATTTCTCTCTTTCCTTTCCCAAATCCAATTGCTCAGTAAGTTCTGTCAGTTTTACCTTAAAAATATAGCCAGAATCCAACCACTCACCATCTGAACAACTTTATCCTCCTTGAAGCCACCCTTCTTTCTCCCTTGGAAAACTGCAAATAGCGTCCTAATTATACTTCATGCTTCTACTCTAGCTTTGCCACAGGGCGGCCAGAATAATTATTTTAATGTAAACCAGATCATGTTACTTTCATACTCAAAACCTGTCAGTAGATTCTCATCACAACAAAAATAAAATTCAAACACCCTGTCGTGACAATAGGCCCTATGTGATCTGTCCTTTGATTGAAACTCTTACTTCACTTTTGTCCACTGTCTCCTTGCACATCTTGTCCAGTCATGCTGGTCACCTTGTTATATCTACAACTGGAGAAGAGGTCTCAGAGGACAGGGATTTCTTCTGTTTTACTCACTGTTGTATTTCCAGAGCCTAGAATAATGCCTGACACAGAGTAGATGTCAATTAATAGTTCTTAAATAAATGAGTAAAATTTTAAAATACTGAATCAAAAAGGAAACAAAGAAAAAGGGACAAAAGAGGAAGAAATCGATGGAATGAATAAAAATAATGAAAGGTAGATAAAATTTAACAATATCTATAATTACATTAAAACATAATGGCCTCCAATTAAAAGGCAGAAATTGTTGGATAGAGAAACAAAACAAAACAAAAAACAAAAAATAAGAATCACTACATACTGCAAGCAAGAAATGCAGTTTAACTATAAAGACACAATTATGTTAAAAGTAATAGTATGGAAAAATACATATCACACTAACAGTAATCATAAGAAAGTTTAAATGGCTATATTAATATCAGGGAAAGCACTTTTAGAGTAAAGGATATTAGCAGTGATAGAGAAAGTCAATTCATTTTATTATTTTTTTAATATTTTTATTTATTTCTAGGAGAGAGAGAGAGACAGCGTGAGCAGGGGAGGGTCAGAGAGAGAGGGAGACACAGACTCTGAAACAGGCTCCAGGCTCTGAGCTGGCTGTCAGCACAGAGCCCGACGCGGGGCTCAAACCCACGAACCGCGAGATCATGACCTAAGTGAAAGTCAGACGCTTAACCGACTAAGCCACCCAAGCGCCCAAGGTCATTTCATTTTAGAACACACTCATTGTAAGTGTTAGTTCATTTAATAACAGAACTTCAAATTATAGGAAAAAAACTGATAGAATTGCAAAGATAAATAGACAAATCTTGTGAATAGATAAAGAAGATTTGGTGTATATATATATATAATGGAGTATTACTTGGCAATCAAAAAGAATGAAATCTTGCCCTTTGCAACAATGTGGGTGGAACTAGAGTGTGTTACACTAATGCAATTAGTCAATCAGAGAAAGGTAAATTTCATATGACTTCACTCATATGTGGAATTTAAGATACAAAACAGATGAACATAATGGAAAGGAAGCAGATATAAAAACAGGGAAAGGGACAAAATATAAGAGAATCTTAAATATAGAGAGCAAACTGAGAGTTGCTGGAGGGATTGTGGGTAGGGGGATTGGGCTAAATGGTCATGGGGCATAAAGGAGGACACTGGTTGGTATGAGCACTGGATGTTATATGTAGAGGATGAATCACTGAATTCCACTCCTGAAATCATTATTGCACTATATGATAGCTAACTTGAATATAAATTTTAAAAATATATATTAAAAATAGAAAAATTTTGAAGAGTGTCCATAATCAGAACCATACATATATGGTCAATGAAGTTTTGATAAGATTGCAAAGGCACAACAGTGAAAAAAAGAAGTCTTTCCAACTAATTTTACTGGAACAATTGGACAAACACATGTGCCAAAATGAACAAGTTCACATCTTACATCACATACAAAAATCAACATTAAACGATCATATAACCTAAATATAAAACATAAAAATATGAAAATTCTATAAGAAGACTATTATATTCATAGAAGAAAATCTTTGTGATGTTTGGTCAGGCAAAAATTTCTTACATATGACATCAAAAATGCAATCCATACAAGAAAGTAGTTTGAAAAATTAGATTTTATAAGCTTAAAAATTCTGCTTTTTAATGTTTATTTATTTTTGAGAGGGAGAGAGGGAGAGAGAGAGAGTGCAAGTAGACAAAAGGAAGAGAGAAGGTTACCCAGAATCTAAGCTGTCTGCACAGAGCCCAATGTGGGGCTCGAACTCACAAACTGTGAAATTATGATTTGAGCCAAAGTTGGATGCTTAACCAACTGAGCCACTCAGGCACCCCATGAGAGCCCTACTCTTTAAAAGAACTGCAAAGAGATTGCAAAGACAGCCATTGATAAGGAAAAAATATTTGTAAATCACAAATCAGCTAAGGAACTTATATTTGGAATATATAAAGAAGCTTCAAGACTCAATGATAAGAGGTTAAAGAGCCAAAAACAAAATGTAGAAAACTTGTGAATAAACATTTCACTAAAGGAGATATATGGGTGATAGATTAGCTCATGGAAATATGCTGAACATAGGGAAATGAAAATTAAAACCACAATGACATTTCACAACACACTGATTAGCATGTCCACAATTAAAGAGACTTATGATACCAATGTTGACAAATATGTGGAGCAACTGGAGCTCTCAATTCTGCTGATGGGAATGAAGGTACATATGACACCTTTGGAAAAAATCTGTCAGTTTCTTAAGAAGTTAAAGATACACTTACTATATATGATTCAACCACTCTGCTTATAGAAATGAAAATATATGTCTTACAGATATTTATACACAAATGTTCCTAGAGCTTTATTTGTAACAATCTCAAACTAGAAACAACTGTAATGTTCCACAGGTTAATGAGTAAATAAACTCTAGAATCGCCATACAATCAAATATTGGTAAGCAATAAAAAATAAATGATCAATATTTGTAAGAACATGGATAAATCTCAATATAATTATGCTGAATTATTTATGTTGGACGGAATAGACTTTAAAACAAAGACTATAACAGAAGACAAGGAAAGACACTATATAATAATAAAGGGTACAATCCAAACAGAAGATATAACAATTGTAAATATGTATGCACTCAATATAGAAGCATCCAAATACATAAAACAGTTAACAACAAGCAAAAGGAACTAATCTATAATGATACAATAGGGGACTTTAACACCCAACTTATATCCATAGGCAGGTCATCCAAACAAAATCAAGAAGGAAACAGTGGCTTTGAATGACACACTGGACCAGATGCATTTAACATATATTCAGAACATTCCACCCGAAAACAGAAGAATACACATTCTTTCCAAGTGCACATGGAACATTCTCTAAAATAGATTAGGTATCAATCTCAATAAATTCAAAAAGATCAAAGTCATACCATGCATTTTTTCTGATGGCAAGGCTATGAAACTAGAAATCAACCACAAATAAAAATCAGGAAAAAGCACAAATTCCTGGACGTTAAATAACTTCTACTAAACAATGAATGAGTCAACCAAGAAATCAAAGAAGAAATTAAAAAAGTACATGAAAATGAAAAGAGAACACAATGATCCAAAATCTTTAGGATGCAGCACAAGCTGTTCTTTTGTTTATCTGTTTTTGAGAGAGACAGAGCATGAGCATGAGCAGAGGAGAGGCAGAGAGAGAGGAAGACACAGAATCCAAAACTGACTTCAGGCTCTGAACTGTCAGCACAGAACCCAAAGCAGGCCTCAGACTCATGAACTGCGTGATCATGACCTGAGCCAAAGTCAGGTGCTCAACCGACTGAGCCACCCAGGTACCCCAGCACAAACTGTTCTAAGAGGGAAGTTTATACCAATATAGGTCTACCTCAAGAAACAAGAAAAGTTGCAAATAAACAAACTAATTTTACATCTAAAGAAGCTAGAAAAAGAACAAACAAAATCCCAAACCAGCAGAAGGAATAAAATAATAAAGATTAGAGCAGAAGCAAATAATATAGAAACTTCAAAAATAAAAGGACAAAACAAAACCAAAAGCCAAAGAACAAAAAAAGAAACAAACAAAAACTCAATAGAACAGATTAATGAAAACAGGAGCTGGTTATTTGAGAAGATCAGTAAAACTTATAGATCTCTAGCCAGACTCATTTAAAAAAAAAAGAAAGAAAAAGAAAAAGAGGAATCAAATAAACAAAGTCACAAATGAGAGGAGAAATAACAACCAACACCACAGAAATACAATTATAAGAGAATATTATAAAAAAAATTATAAGCCAACAAATTGGATAACTTGGAAGAAATGGATAAATTCCTAGAAAGAAATAATCAACCAAAACTAAAAGAGGAAGAAATAGAAAATTTTAGCAGACTGATTATTAGCAATGAAACCAAATTAGTACCAAAAACTCCCAACAAACAAAAGTCCAGGACTAGACAGCTTCAAAGGCAAATTCTACCAAACATTTAAATAGGAGTTAATAGTTAGTCTCAAACTATTCTAAAAAATAGAAAGGGAAGAAAAACTTCCAAATTAATTCTCTGAGAACATTATGATCATTTCCAAAGATGTAGAAAAAGCATCTGACAGAGTACAACATTCATTCATGACCCTCAACAAAGTAGGTTTATATGGAGCATACCTCAACATAATAAAGACCCAGAAAATATCATACTAAGAAACAAGACAAGGTTGTTCATTCCCATCACTTTTATTCAACGTAATACTAGAAGTCCTGGCCACAGCAATCAAACAACAAAAAGAAACAAAAGGCATCCAAATTAATAAAGAAGAAATAAAAATTTCACTATTTGCAGACAATATGATACTATATATATATATATCCCTAAATATATATCTATATATTTTTATATATATATTTATATATTTATATAGATATAGATATATCCCTAAATATATAGATAGA